AAGGTTGCTACAAACTGGCTGCATTAGCTGGATCTACTTTGACAAAGATCATCTTTCATAAACATGTGGTCTTGGATACTATATGAGAAAGAAGTATACAGAAAGAGAAAAGATTCTTATAAAAATGTGAATTCCTTTTTAGCTGGAAAATGTATTCTGAGAAAGAGGAAAAAATATCAAACAGGGAAATTGTATATTTAAGTGAGCTCAGCAGGAATAAGAGTACTTAGGCAAATAAATTCAGTGTTAATGAAGGCAAATTTAACAAGCTCTGCTCCTTTGATTATTTTTCCTTATGCATGAAGACAAATTCAGAACCCTCAGAAGACTTGATGATAAGAAAATATAAGGTGATTTCATATTTTTGTGTTGCTAATTAGTTCATACACACACACAAATTAGGAGGCCATTAAAGTACCTGACAGTAACATATAAGACAGTGAAAGAGCTAAGAAGTTATACTCCTATACATTTGAAGGCTAATGGCACTTGGACTTATAATTCCCATTCAGATCTGTGTGGTAGATGAGTGTGTAGGCTAGGGGTGGCTCACTCTTTAAGGCTTAAAGGAAGCTGCACAGATTTGTGAAAAATCCATATTCCAAAGTACAAGTATAATTTCCCAGTTGTGCTGTAGAGATGAAAAAGGTGCTGGTAAGAGCCAGTTTAGCAGCAAGCTCCCAGGAGTGAAGGGAATGGCAAGAACCTCCCGCTAGGCTTTTGTAGTAGCCAAGGGCACACTACAGCCAGGAGCATCCACAGCACAGTACAGAGGTTTTTGCTGTCTTTGCTCCTTCAGCTCAACATCAGCTCTGCTTGAGGTTCCAAAAGCAGTTCAGGGAGATACTATGACTCCTTTCGACCAGCAAAATTTAGAGGATGCCTGTGGCACTGGATGAAACGGAAAACCACATTTTTAACAGAGCACAGCAAAATAGCTGGGGACAAGTCCTGCCCTGAGCATTCTTGTTAACATTCAGCCAATTTCAAACTGATATCCCTGCTGTTTGAATGATTTGCATTCACTTCTACTTCATGCTTAAATACTGGTTTATTCTTGAGCAGCTAGTCCAGACCTTTCAAAGGCATCTCACACATCTGCCACAGAAGGCAGTGCTGGGTACATTACTGTTTTACTTTTTGTTTGCTTGTTTTTATCACACTGAAGAAAAATGGACTGGATGAGCTATAATATCACTTAACCATCCACATGCTCCTCCTCTGATAGCTTTTGCATATGTTAGAGCTTTCCCTCAGGTAAATATTATGTCAATAGACAGCAAAGGAATTGAAGAAATATCCATCTTTTCATCAGTTCCAAATAAACTATTCAAACCATTTAATATTTCCATGTTTGGGGGGTTTTTTTCTCTTTTTTTTTTTTTTTTTACTCTATTACAGGAAAGAGTCTCAGAATTTTTCCTAGTGTTAAAAGTCTAGGAAGAAATCTCCTAAAACCTGTTAATCCTATTATATATTCCATCTTTGCTATGCCTAGGAAGAATATATTCTCCGTTTTTTGTGGGTTTCCATTTTCACTTAATATGAACATTCTTATTAATCTTTGCACTGACATTATCTCCTAAAACAGCCAGGGAGAACAAGTGGCTCATTTGAAAAGTTTACATGGAGTCATGTAGACCAAGACTGTCTTGATTATCTGGTTTGACTTCCTGTAGAATATACATCAGAGCATTACACCCACACATGTTGAATAAGCAACCACAAACTTTTAAAAGGCCATTCAGCTCTGATTTAAAGATTATAGACAACAGGAGTTTTGGACAGAAGATCCCCTGGTTGTAGTCAAGGACACAACCTGATCTTGCTACATGGAAAGTCTTAGTTTAAGAAAGATGGAGACGTCCTGTTTCGCTTGAATTTAAAGCTGCAATCATTCTCAAAAACAAGTAAGAAAATATTTCCTAAATGTTTATCTTGCTGCCTTCCCAAGGCAATTTGAAATACAAAATAGCACACTCTGCATATGCCTAAATCAACATTTAGTGTTTTCACATTCTGTGAATTGTCAAAATGTAAACAGCTAATAATTTTTTAAAAATAATTGAATTAACTGTGTTACATTAGTAAGTCTTATAAAGTTAAAAAGACAAAAAAAAATCACAGGAATAGAACTGAGTAGACTCTCTTGTTCTCTGTGTTACCTCAGTGTGGGTGTTTTGGCTAAGAGAGATAAAAATCTGTGAGCAGCAATTCGGACTTCCGTGTCCCAGCTTGCTCAGGGAGCAGTATGCTCATTTGGAGTTTCTGATTTGACTAAATTACATTAAATTAACAGCACAATGGGGAAAACAAGGGAAGCACAATCAGTGATCTATTTAGAAATACTCTACCAAACATTATTAGTAAAGTTTTATTCCATATAATCTGCATCAAGAGTGACTAGTGCAGTTGTGAATGTCTATTGAATTTAGATTCTTTCTTCCCCAGAGCCTAGTAGAAGAAAAAAATATTATCACCATGTTTTGAAAGCATGCAAAGCTTTTTGTGGGGTAAACTTGCTTAAAAACTGCCATCACTATGACTAAGACAGTGCTTCTAGTGTTCCCTAATTAAGAGTGTGGCAAACTGACATTTTCAACGTGCAAACAGAAATCAGTGATGGCTGTGTAATAAACGCTGCATAGCTAAAGGTGACAGTTCTAGACAGTATTTCAGATTTTGTCTGTATTTTAAAAAATAAGTGCAAACATAAAAATGACTGAAATACAGACAGAATCTGTGAAGACCCATAAAGCTTTTAGGAAGAAAGGTGGATGCAGCTTGCTTAGAGGCTATAGTACGAAATAAACACACATCATCTTTATCCTCAAGTGATCATATCCTTTACTGAAGTTCCACAATGCTGAGCTAATTAAAGCTCAAATCTTAATTAGGGTAAAGAAAAGTTATGCCCTTTATGATTTGAAATTAAAAGGAATTTAATTGCTATCATCTGCAATGCTACTTTTCATATTGGATCTAATGATCTTTGTGAAACTGTGCATGTGCTTTTATAATATAAATAATTCAACCATTTGACTTAGAACTTCTAAATGGAACAAGGATGATTTCACTTGCTGAACTGATGACCTGCAAAATTTCAGATATTGTTAGATATGAAGATGGAAGATTAATGCTAAAACCACATTTTCAAAACATGTCTGCCGTACAGCCTTCAGTCTAGTAGAGCAGTAGCAAACATCTCAATTTAATAAGCATCCTTTGTTATCTCATTCTCACTGCTAACACTAGTCTTTCTACTGTAAACAGTAGCTTCAATCTACCCAAGAACCTCTGCAAAAATCCTACTGAAAAGACGTTATATCTCTTTCTTTCAAAAGCATGCAATAATTCACAGCAGTATTTTGTGATATGCTCATGAGGTCATTTTCAAAAGAATTAACAAATAGTGGAACTTTCAATTCTGGGAAGATAATTTTTTGATCCTGTAAAGAGGTTTTCAGAGAATGAGCTTTAGGACTAAGAAAATCATCATTCAGACATGGGACTTAGCAGTAATAAACTTCTCTGGAGACAAAAATTTACCCCTTTCTCTAGGGAACATGGTAAATGGCATAATGGGAGCAATCTCTGCATCGCCTTCGCTGGTTATCTTTCACTCTAAGCTTAGAAGCTTAAAAAATTACTCTAGTCTTGGTTTAGGATCAGAGTATGGTGGAGGGGGATCTTGTTAAAGCAGAGTTTTGTCTGATCTCTTCTACTCCTCTTCTGCCCTTCCTCCCCAGCCCTTGCTCTCATCCCAGCAGAGAGAAAGCAGAACAACAGTTCTGAGGGTGAAGGCTTGAAGCACATAAAGCTTCTGCTGGAGTGTGAGCCAAGAATTCAGCAAGAAGTGTGAGCTCAAGTTACCTCACTAAATTGTGAGTCCTCCTTTCTCATCCTCCCTTACAGCAGCACAAAAATAAAGGAGGAAAAGCATGTAATTTCTCCTTCACTCTTTCCCTAAATGACTGGGAACTCCCAACATAACACCAATTAACCGCAGGTTTTCATAATGGGCCTGAAACTTCCAGGTGGGCACAGACAGCAGTATGAGCTGGTGCTACTTGTGAAGAAGGGTTAAATATCTCCACAGCACATGCAGTAATCAATACAGAACCATGTCTCTCTTCTCTCACCAACTAAGGGACGCTAGCTGGGACATACTCACACATATAAGTGGGAATATTTTAGAAGAAGAAACCAAGAAAAGAAGCCTGAGAAAAAAACCCCAATAAAACAAAGAACAAAAAAACCAAACACCTCACTAGAATTACCCTTGGATGAATACTTTCAAATCTTCAGTACTTTGTCATGTTTTCTCAAGGTATCAGTTAAGCCTAATTCCTTCAGTGAAACAGCTTAGATTCCAAATAAAGACAGGGTCTGACCTGACTGATGCAGAAAGGGTTTGGTAGTTTTTAAATGAACTCAACTGGAGCACACTTCAAGAGTTAACAATGTAATAGAGAGGAAGGAGCACTGAGGTTAAGGTTAAGGGCAGCATCACAAGGATAAGAGACTGAAAATAGGAAAAGAAAAATGTTAAGGCTGACATTAGGAAAACATTTATTATCATGAGGATGATTAGATAATGGAATAATTTCCCAAAGGAAGTTGTTGAGTCAACCACTAGAGGCATTCAAAGGAAACCGAGATAAAAACACCAGGCGATTGATCTGGAGGGCAGTCCTGCACTAATGACCCAAGAGGCTCTTTCAAACTCATTGAGGATTCTCCTCTTGAAAACAACAATTCGGAACATTAGACAGCAGCACGTGAACAAAAAGTAGATGAAAAACATTGCACAAAGCCAGAAAAAAACATTTAATCAAAGGCTTTTTTTCAATTTACAGATTTTTTCCTCTATAATACCAATAATTTGAGTCTATGTATGCATTCATTACTTCAAAAAAGTCCTAACGTGTATTGATCAGCCAGGTGAAACTGAAAATATTCTTTTTTTCCAACAAAATTATAGGAGCTCTAAAACTTGCCTTATGAAACACGATGGACATCATGAAGAAATCCAGCAAGAAATTTTCCGAAATGTCTCTGTAGTCAAATCGGAAGAAGATCACAGTAAAGCTCAAAGTAACAAACTGATTAATAGGATTACAGAATGAGGAGCGGAGGAGTTTCATCCCAGCAACTGTTATCAGGATAATGTCACAGCTGTAAGAAAAGCAGAGAGAAAAACCTAATCAAGTCATAAGGCATTAAATTAAGAAGCTCCTAAATACAAATATCTATACCAGATGTATTTTAGATTGCTTTACACATCTAAATCTACAAATCTTCTTTACTAAAAGTATACAGAAGTAATATCAGAAATCATCACATTTATTTTACTTATGTGAATTTTGTATTTTTCCCTTATCATTATGACACATTTTTAAGTTGTAAAAAAGAACAAACTCTGTACTAAAACGAGTAGTAATGACTACTAAAACCCAAAAATCTAGACCAGACATTTTTATATCCCTCATAAAGTAAAACTTTAGTCCAGGAAATACCTTGGCACTTTCATTAATACATTACTGTAATTTGAAAAAAAAAACCAAAACCCTTGAACTATTTTTTTTTAATTACAAGAAATTTCATGTGATTACAGAATTTATAATTTTACTTGTAATTTCATTATGTGCTGCCAAAATTCTGGATAGAATTACACATAGATGTGCAGTGTTTGAAATTCTTACCACAGCTCTGGATCAGAAAGTTGACTATTCTACATAGTAGTTCATCAGATCAAAAGAACTTGTGTTGCACCTATGTCTTCCAAAATGTGGGGATTTCAACGTATAATGAGTGAGAAAGTAGACCAAGTATTTGCAAAATGCATGGAAGGTTCTCCTTCATCCTGCTGCTAACCAGGAGAACACCTGCTGCCATGACTGACATTTGGCAGGCTAGAAAGCTCTCAACAGGTTTTCACCATCCTAGCAAGATTCCTATTTTCCAGGTTGATTTTATTTCATGTGGCATTTATTCATTTTTGTGTATCTCACATAACGCAGATGCAACTTTATTTTGAGTGCTGGTCCTTCTAAAGGATCAGCAGGGCATTACTGTTGGAATGAAACACCAAGCTGACCTTATTTTCCACCTTGTCAAGACTGTTCTTTTCAATTTGCCCCACTCTTCTGAATTATGGAAAACCTAATGACTAAGCTAAATAGATTCTGAAGCCAACAGAAGCCGTCCCAGTGTATCGTATATGAACCAGTTGTGTGTTTTGTTTATCAAAAAGAAGAAAATTCTTGCATCATGGAGAAATTTTCACATGGAAACTTACAGATTATAGAGCAAAAGGAAGACTTTTTAGTCAATGTGTCTGGTACCATCATGAAACTTCCACCAAAAAATGACACTTTACAAAATAACGCATTCAGAGGTAACAGAAAATAATTTGCTCATTATTCCTTCTTCTTTAAAAATACTGCCACACCAGGTGCTTTTCCTGGGGCCTTAACTCCTGGGAAAAGATGCAAGGCAATGTGAGCAGGGGGGTGATTTCCAGTGCCTCTTTGGCAGGAACAGGGGCAGGCACTGTCAGCATGGGTCCTATTAATAACCAGCACACCAGGGTCTGGAAAGCTCAAGCAAACTCCTGACTATAAAGGAGCTGCTCTGTCTCCTCAAGAAGCAAACTGCTGCAGTCCTTTAAATCACAAAGCAAGGTGAAGCTTCTTTAAAAGACAAATTCAATTTCAGGAAAACTTTGACATCAAACCACACAAAATGTGGTTGACAGACACTTTCAGACACAGAGTGGGAGGGTGTTTTCTCTTCCCTACAGCATCATGCAGTCTGATCCTTAGGTGGTCAATAACTAAGGAATGTTCCAGCAACAGAAAATAGGTATTTATGCATTAAAACCCTCATTAACACTGTATCTGGAAGTAGCAAGGAGAATCCAGGATGCCTCATGGGTTTACAGAGTTCAGAAAGAGGTGGGATCTGAAGCTGAATGCTTTGTGTGTGGCATTTGGATGGCAGCTGCAGGGAGAATGTATTAAAGAGGAGAGCCAGAGGAAAAGGCATACTGGGAGTTTCATGGATAGAGCAGAGTTACAAGGAAAAGGAGAGAGCAGGTTTCACATAGGTGATCACACAGACACAAGGGGGATGGGGAAGGAAAGGACTGCTGTGGTATTCCCCCACAGGCCAAACAATCAGAGGCAGACAAATGTAATTACTTTCTTTAATCTCAAGACTTCTGGGGGTCTGACTCATTTCCTCTGAACACTTGAGGGAGGTGATACTTTAAAGTGCAATCTAGCTTGGAGGAATGACTATGTAAAAATAGCACCTTCCTAACCCTACATATTTGCTCCGTGCATGTATTCAGTCACGTCTGCTAGCTAGTAACAAATAGCATTCTGACTGCTTTTAATTCTCCCAGCCTTGAAGAACTAAACAGAGGGATAACTGTGGATGCAGTGTCACCTTAGACAATACACCTGAACTCCTGAAGCACCTTGGCTGTAGCACCTTCCAAGTGCCTGGGGGAAAAAAGGTCAGTGGGGAATTACAGGGGTTATCAATGAGTGACTGGTGAGAGTCTCTCTGCAAAGGAAGTTGCCTGGGAGAAATATGCAGAAAATTTGACTAATGCCCTAGTCCAAATTTCAAACTAAAGGGGCTGCCTAAAAGCAGGGGCTGCCTTTTCCTTATAATTGTGTAGTTCCTAATGCTGTGTTGCTCCTCAAGAGAGAGCAATAATTAAATCAACATGCAATTTTTACATCAAAGTTCTTTTATCTAATATTTGAAATTAAGAATCTGCTTTATTATGGATATTGAGGAACTCTCCCCCACCTCCCAGCAGTTTTTCTTGCTACTGGAACATTCCAAGGCTGTGTCTTTGTTTTATCATCTGCATCACTGTCATTCTGATAAAAAGACTGCAGAAACTCTGCTCACTGGGGATACTGCAGTCACCAAGCCTGCTGAATATCTGCAGTAGGCAAGTCACTGACTAAAATACTTACCATAAAAGGCTGTCTGCAAGGATCATACTGTGAGACCATGGATCAGCACCACCAGTTCTGCTTAATAGCTAAGACATCAGACTTTGTCAAAACCTGTACCCCCACCTTTTTCAAACCACTGTTAATGCAGGACTACCCACCTTTCTACACTGTTTAATATTTCATTCAGCCTTAAAAGACTTGTGTGGTGAAGCTTCTGATAACTCCTTTGGGAGACCACGGCATAGTGTTAAAAATCCTCAGTTAGGAAATGTTTCCTGATATCCAGCCTAGATTTCTCATTTTCGTCTGATTAATTCTAGTTACCCCACTGAGTTTATGCCCATCAAACACCTGCAGTCTGATATGGTGTGTCTTGCTTTTAATTGACATTTAGACCTTCCATATATATCTATATATAGCTCTTTAATCTTTTAATTTCACTCTCTCTCACTGGAGACACGTTTTAGTGTGCTAAAGTAGTTTTGCATCTTTCTTGCAGCAAAGCCAATGATTATTGTATTTTGAACTAAAATGCGTAAAAGCAAACTCTGACAAGATTACAGGATTATTTAAAAACAAATTCCATTTCTCAGTCTTCAGTCTAAAACCAAATATTCTACTAATCACGTGCCTTGAGTTATAATCTACTTACTGTGTACCAAGCTTCTTGTATTTACTAATTGAGAAAGCATCAATGGTGAGTGCATTCAGTATTATGGCTGGATATAAAATGTATTTCTCAAAGCACTGTAGCCACACATAAAGCCTTTCAAACCACATCAAATGAGCAGCATCTGAAATGGAAATTCAGATAACAGATTGTGTCATCAAATCATCAGCATTTTTTGCACTGGAGTACCATAGAAGACACGAGTCAGCTCACATTAATAAATATAGTCAATCAACTAATTTGTGAAACAATAGAATTCATAATTCTTTGGCAACAGAGAAATTATTTTGTTCTCTCAGTTTAGAAAGTATCTGTTTTGCTGCTTATAATTGCACTCCTGAGACATATTCAGAAACAATAAAAGATAGTACATGCTAGATGGTAGTTTTTACATCATCCAATTATTTAGTCAGTATATTAAATAGTACTCTCAGTGGATGTAATGACCCCAGAGAGGCCCTCTCCAGCTCTGGTACTGACCTGCTGAATCACCTAGGAAACCTCATTTGAACTCCGTGCCTCTACTTCCCCATCTTACAGTAGAAAAACACTGTTCCTTAAAATGTAAATTATCATTGACCTCACTGATAAATGAAACACCCCTTGAGATCTAAATACTGAAGAAATATCAGGAGGTAGAAATTGTCATAGATGTTTCCCAAAACACTTAAACAGACACTCTAAGAAGTATCTGCCAGGATCACATCTCACATCATTCCTCTCTAAGGAATAGCTTTTTTCTTTTTGCAGTAGACTTTTCTAACAATACCACAGTGCTTAATATGAGTATTAAACAAGAACTGAATGCTCCATGCAATTCAGCTGCTATGAGAGCTTAGGTGAACTGAGTGCAGAATCCTTGTGCACAGACAAAAACAATGCCTTTCTCCTCAAAGCTCAGCTAGACAAGGTTATTGGAAAAACAGTGAACACAAAATGGCAGAACTTGTTATTAACTCAGAAATAAAAATGCCAGCTACTGAATCTCCAATAATCATCCCTGTGAAATTAAAACACTTCTATGTAGAGACCCCCCCTCTTCCATACACACCTTTTCAATGACAGACACAGAAGTTATGCTAAATCAATGGATTTCTACATTCTACAGGCACAGTTGTATATTGCATAGACTAAGAGAAAGATCTAAACCCAATCCTTCTAATTCAGGATGAAGTCATGCTTTGCCAGTACCTTAAGCTAAGACAATGTTCTTGCAAAAAAATCCCCCTTCAGAAAATATAAACAACTTCTGTTTCTTGCTATAACATAAAAATATTTCCTCTTCATTACCTAAGGGCCACCTCCTAAAAGTTCATACACACAGCAAAATGTCCATTTTGAAACTGAGTTATCTTCCCTATTCCCCTCTCCTCCTCCTGAGCTCAAGCACTTCAGCCATGTCCAAAGCTGAGCTCTGTGTAAGAACTCAGGCTTCACTAAAGAGATAAGCATATCACACAAACCAAACAGAAGGTGGGTGCAGGAGCACAGAGAGGTCTGTTCAAACAATGGAGACAGAAAAAAGAGCTCACATTCAGAAGGGGCCCCAGGGAAAGACATGGATTTGAAAATGGCTTACATAAACCTGTGGGGTATAAAAGCACTAGTGGGGAGGAAGTAGAAGACAAAATAGCCTAGTATATCAGGGCTTCTTTCTCATTTATTCCTGCATATCACTAATTTTTCTACACATCTATATACCATAAGCTCATACATCTTGACCTGATCTTTTCATCCTGCAGCCAGCCAAGACAATGACAAGCAATAACTGAGTTATCTCACAGGGGCAGCACAAGAATTGGTCTGATAATTGCTATTCCATGGAACACCTTAAAGGCTGAGAAGCTCATCCAAAGTCTGTGCAACAAAGCCCACAATAAACTTGTGGAATTTCACTGCCAGTTGTTTGTCTAATTGCAAGCAGTCATTTGTCTTTCAATAGCAATCCTCTTGTAAAAAAAAAAAAATTAGAATTAAAATCTATGTAGTAAAAACTCCTCACAGACATCTTATTTTGTGTACTTGTCCTTTCATTGTCTGCATCTGACAACTATGGGGTACTACTGTCCTTCTGTCCTTTTTACAAGTTTCTCTTTCTATACAAAGAGGGAACATTTTAAAGTTTAGTTCCTACATTTTATTACAGGTCAAAAGAAAGAAGACAGCCCGTCAGACATATCTATCAAAGGGATTACCTTTTCCACAGTCTGTCTCATCTCAGACATGATAAAAAACCTCTGCAGCAGCCTAAGGGACTAAAATATTTTTTTTTTCAATTCTTGTTTTCTAACACACAACACCCAGCTACATTGCAATAATACTTAGACCCCAAAGTACAGGAATGTGCCATATATAAATGAGGACTGCAAAAGAAGCAAAAAAAGCCTGTTTCCGCAACATGAGAAATGCAGCTGGATCTCAAAACAGAAGGAAACCCATCTGTAGAAATCAATGCAGCAGGTCTCTACCTTCAACCTTTTCAAATGCTGAGTCACTGCGTTTAGGAAAACAATGGTTTTTGACAAATGAAGACAGACTTAATCAGAACAAGGCAAAGAAATCCTACAGTGGTCTTTTATGATTAAGTGGTGAAACAAACAGTGCAAGTTGGGTATTTATCAGAATTACTGGTTATCAGGGACAGGAAGTACTGGACACTCTTTTCAGCTGGGCATGGTGGTTAATAATATTTATATTTCTATTATACTTTCCTTGGCATATTACAGTAGAAGTTAAAAGGCAACCTTCAATCAAGACTCTTTTTCCATACCCAACCCTTCTTTGGAAAGTAATTGTTTCGAAACACATAAATTTTTTTAAATAAAAAAGATTTAAATCCTTAATGTATGGTTTTCCAGAGACTCTTTTGCGGTCTAGTTGAAGACAGACTGAAGTCCCTCAACAGACTGTTCTCCAAATGCTGTCTTCAAACACTTCAGAAACATATACTGAGAATTATTAAGGCGTGGGATCCATCAAGAAATGACAAGCAAGATTTGGCTGGTAGCAAAGGCAAAAAGAGAGCTGGGGTGGAGGGGGGAAGTTTTACTTCTCAAAGCACACTGCCTGCTTCAGAAATAACTCTATCAGAGCAGGAAATCAGATCTCCACATACTAAAATATTGACTGATAGTCACATGCACCAAGGCACCACTGGTGAAGCCAGCAGACACCAGCAAGAACAGATCTTACAGAAAATTTAAGTTCTTTTCAATTGTAATGTTTCTCCAAAAGTGTCACAATTGAAATTAGAACACTTAAACTGCACTACATTTGCTGATATGTCAGAAAGTGGAAAAAATTCTGCCTCAATTTCATCAATCTTTTAAGTTTTTAAATTATGTAGAATGCCAATGTATTAGGCATGAACTATACCACATCAAGCAACACACAAGTAACAGTGCTGTAATGTAAAACAAAAGGCAGATCAGACAGTGGCTCATGAAAGATCACACAGAGGCTATGAAATTATTAAGGAATGGGAACATTCAACATATGAGGAGAAACAGAGAGCTGGGATTGCTTAACTTTGAGAAGAAAAAGCCTTGGGAGGCATCTTACGAATGCCAGATTGGCAGCGTTTTTGGGATATTAATACCTGATGGGGGAGAGTAGAGTTGATGGAGCCACTCTGTTCTCAGTAGTGGCCAGAGACAGGACAAAAGAAATGGGCACAAATTGAAAATCTATTTTCAGAAAAAAGTAGTACCAAAACAAATAAACCACCAAAAACCGCAAAACCAAAAAAAAAAGCAGAAAAAAGGGAAAAAAAACCCCACTAAAATCCACCCAAATACCACAGTTTGAAGCAACCCTTCTTACTGTAAGGATGACTGAATGCTATATCCAGAATGTTTTAAGAGTCTCGACGCTTGAAAATATTAAAAACTGGACACAGCCCTGAGCAGCCTCTTCTAGCTGACCCTGCTCTGAGCAGGGCCATCAGACTAGACAATCTCCAGACTGGCCTCAGCCCACCTGGGCAGTGGCCTGAGAAGACAATTCCTACAGGTTCACAGATTTGCTGGTGGTACAATGGAAAAACTAAAATGATCAGATATGTCTGCTACTCAAAAGCAAAAGGATAATTTATTCTCCCAGCTCTGTTACTTCTGGATTTTTTTATTTTTTTGTTCTTCAAACCAAGGCAGGCTGGAAGCCATTGCATCCACTGTTTAGAAAAGACTCTTACAAACCTCTCACTTCCCGCTGCTGGTGCTCTTTGCTTTTGAGTATGGGGTGGGAGATCCACAGCCAGGGGTGATGCTTGCGGAGCTGAGGAAGGATGTAATGTGTCACAAATCCCACTGTCCACGCTAAAGCAAACAGCACAATGCTGAGAAATGGCTGGGCCAAAGTAGAAAAAAGGAAACATAGTTATAATTTACATACAACATTGTTTTATACAAATATATGTATATATATATATATATATATTTATTTATTTATTTTAAACATTTTTTAACAGTTTCTGCAATTGCATCTTTCTGCAATTGATTTTTATTCCTATGTTCAAATTCTTGACGCTAGGTGAATATGGACTTTGACATATGTGTTTTGCACACACAATCAGCCAATTTTTTCCTCCATGATTGGAGGAAAAAAGGCAAAATGTCAGACTTATTCATTCTGTCCTCTGGGTTCCACATCATAAGAGCTGTTTAAGAAAAAAGATATCAAACAAGTAATACTGAAATTAGTACAAATATCCAGAAACTAAGTGCTTTGCAGATAGAACAGTGTTATCATGACCAGTAAATGCATTTTCACTAACTTCTCTTCCCACAGCATCTATTCTTTCCAGTTAAAGCTCCCTGTGGTTTTGCATAAGAGACATAATACCTTAGGGGAGGAAAAAAAAGATAGATACACACCCTTAGTGACAGAAACACAGTACTGGCACTGACAGCAAATGACAGAACAGCAGCTGCTGTGCAGACAATGAGATCCGATTTCAAGATTTCTTTCTGTGAAAATAATTATTTTATACACAATTAGTAAGGCAGCACTATTTTAACCAAAGTAATTACTCTGTTTTCAATTACTTACACTCTGCATTGCAATAAGGATAATCGGCATTCCCTAATACAAAAGTATTTTCTCCACTCTGCTTTGGGAAATTATTTCTCCACACTCCAGGTCTGTTGAAGTAATCACATTTAAATTCTTCATGCCTAATTTTGAATTATATTTTTAAATAACAAAGTTATAATATTGGAGAAATGAAAGCAATACATTTTAATACTGAATCTGATTCTGCTTGAGTAATAGAACTCTTTTCCATTATGACCTTCTTATTTTTGGGAATCAAAATTCTGGTTCTATTTCCTATTTTCAAGAACTAATATTTCTTATTCCCTTTCTCTTGCATTACTGAAAAAAGCCATGCTTTTCCATAATGTCTTCTAAGACACAACATTAATACTTTAATTATGTTCTAAAGTGACATGTCCCATTCCCTGATTTTCTTTATTGGAAGTCAAATTGCAGCAAGATTTTGTGGATTTTAGACAAGGCTTTTTTCCAGTATCATTGAATGATAATGAAAGGACATGTCTGCCTTTATGTAAAGCTCTGTAACCATGGTAGGAGTAACTTTGTTTCTAAAGATTGGAAATATCACTGTCTTTACAGCACATTTTTCTTGCGATTAAAATGTCATTCTCAGTAAACAAATAAACAAGATAGCTTGTGATCTGTGAGATCTTCTGAATTGTACTTCAGAGGTCACCCAAATGCTTTTGTGAGTAAATGAAAATCTTGTCTTAGATTTATGAGAAGGGCATTTAGGTTCAGCACTCAATTCTGCTGCTAAGTTACCAAATGAGAAACTATTTGTAGTTCTTGGTTTAGAAGCTGACTTATGCTTTAATTCAAAGATACCTAGAAACAACACATGAAAAGCAACACTTTTGATAGAACCAGAGGTTCATCTGACTTTCTGGTGATTGTATCTAGGTAATCTTAATGAATCTCATCAGAGAAAAAAGAAAGAAAACTAAAATGATGATGGTAGGGCAAACCTAGGAATAAAGGAGATAAAAAAGAAAGCAAGCAGAACAAGCGAAGAACAGAAGGGTTGCGAATTACCAGGGAAGCTGGTAGCAACCTCTATATTTAGGCTGCCTATCACTCCCTGTTATGAAAGATGATTCTCAGGAAAAGGTCACCTGCATCAGCACTTCCACTTACTGCAGCAGCCCTCTGAAATACAGCAGGACTAAAAAGCCTTCAGGCTCTGAAAGTACTTTTGCTTTGTTCCAGGAAACTCCAAGACAGCTTAGCTGAAATCTCAATAACCAGCATGGTCTTTGCCCTTCCTGGGCGGCTCAGGAGTATGTGCACATCTCCAGAAGAGTGGTGCTCCCTCCACTCTGAGAGCCATCCTTCTCTGGAGAGCCCTGCACTCTGCATGGGCTACATGTGCTGTGAAGGTGGGAGCAGAGTCAGGTCTTTGGAACTCCTCCTGACCACCTTTTCAAAGCACAGCCCTGCTGGCCTTGCTCCTTGGCTGTCACATTCAGCAGGAGAACCACAACATGAGGGAGCCCACAGGAAAAGCCTTCTCTTCCCTGACTAAACCTTGGCTCCCTGCCTGTCCCACAGCTCTTCTCTGTTCAGTTCTCTCACAGCTTCCTCTCACTAGCAAGCAGCAGTACTGAAAAAACACAGTCTAATAAAAATGAATAACTGAGTTATTACCAATCTATGCAATGGAAATGATTTTTTAAGCTTTCCAGATATTTTTAAAGATGCTGCATACAAAATCTATGTAAAACAGCAGTATCTGAGAAAATTAAGCAGTGTCAAATTTATATAGCACTATTTCAGTCCCTTTGTGAATACACAGCATGAAAAGTCTTGATCAAGTATCATTTTCTGCACAGCTGAATTCAACTACTCAGTAATCTAAAACAAGCTTCTAAGAACAACAAACACACTCCAATCACACTCACAAGCTCTTCTGTACAACCCAAAAGGCTTACTATTAAAATGGCTGATTTCTCTCACAATCAGATGGCTGAAAGAGCTGACACTTTAAAAACCATGTGAAATATTAAAAATTTAGCCGCAAAATCAGCAGAAGTGATAAGAATGCATATTTTTGGGGAGAGGTGGCATCCTAACTTTCCATTCCAGGCCAGATCACCACAGAGAATCTTTTCAAACATTACATTCAGAAGAGAACATATAACACAAATTATATTGCACAGGACTTCTATTTCCCATCTTTCCTTTTGCAACTGTCCTTTTAACAGTGCTCTAATAACTTTTGACAATCCTATACAAAAAAAAAGACCTATTTTTTAAGGAAATTATTATTATTCAGATATTCAACCCCAAATTTGGCAATTGCTTTCCATTTCTGGCAATACTGAGCGTGTTTAAAGTATCATATATGCCCAGGCTTGTCCTTCTATCCTTGCACTGAACTGTTTCTAAATGTAAAAATACTGCACAGCTGTGTGGCACAATGGTCCACACAGCAGCTCCCTCTTGATGTGGCCAATGCTTTCAAGCTTCTCACAAAATTCAGGCTTTTTTCTGTCTAAAACAAAGATGAGCAGTGCTTGGGACCCCCAGGAAATGGCAGTGATCTCTCTGGCTGAGAGGGAGTCACAGCTGCCCTCCAGGAGAAAACCTTGGGCATCTACCTGCTGGGGGTGGACCTGTGGCTCCTAGCCTTCCTGTGGAAGGCAGCTAGCTCCTGGAAACCATGTGCCCACTTTAGACCCAACTAAAGCAAGATTTTGGGTATCATTCCCAAGACAAGGAACTTCTGAGCTGAGTACTGAATAGCTCTATAGCATAATGCTTGAGCCCTTCACTGCAATTGGTCCAAAAATGTAAAAGTTAAGCTCTCTTCACAGTTCAAATCTGTCCAGTGAGAGACCCTCACTATAGTGGGTTTGGGCTGAAAGCCATTCTACACTCTCCATTTTACACTCAAGGTGGAAAAAAAAGTAACACCAAACCAACATTGCCACCTTTGATGCCTTGGGGACTTCACAAGCAGAATATATTAGAGTGGCACTTTTTGTTTTAATTATTATCACAGAATCATAGATTTGTTTATGTGGAAAAGATCTTTAAAATTATCAAGTCCAACCATTATTTTCAATTAAATTTTTGGACCTTTGTACAAACCCTTTTACTAGCTATCTAAATGTTGGTACTAAAGACCAGGAAGGAACCTTGAGTTTGAATGTAACACATTATCACCCTCAGGCCACTGCTTAATCTAGTAATCAGCCATGTGGATGCCTACAGAAATTAATTATAATGGTAGGAAGCTCCATTCTCAAAGTTGAATGGTCAATTATCAATCACAGCTGCTTCATAATTCAGGCTTCCAAAGCTGGCAATTCTTACACAGCTATTCAAGGAAAGGAAAAGGGTAAAAAGTCATGTAATCAAACATTAGAGATGCTGTATTTATTACCCCTAACATCAAAGCAAAGCCATCCTGAAAACAACACATTAATTTTCAATATTAACCTTGTTTGCTTTCAGCTGCTTGAGAAAGTGATTTGGTTCTGTATGCCTCTGGCTTTCTGATTAAAATGGGTCTTATTTAAATGGTGTCTTGTAGACCACATGTCACCAAGGCAAGGCTGGCTTGGGCTGCATCCTGCCATCTCTTGCCACTGACAGGGGGTAGGAATACTCTCCTCGCAGGGAAGCACTTCAAGAAAAAATGAGCTGCCATAATGAAACCTCTTCTGAATACTGATATATTGTTTCACCCAGCTGCTGAACAGTTTGAAGATCCCCTTACAAAACTTCTGGAAATTAGTTTAAATTGGCTTTGAAGAGTCAGCCGAGTTCTACATCCTGAACATGACTGCTATTGCTGAAGCAAGTCAGCAGGGACTATGGCTTGATTGTGCTCCTTGGATTCGATGCACGTGCATTTTCTCCTGCCTCAGTTCTTCCCTACCTGCCCTATTAGCACTACACTGGTGAGATAGCAGTGGGAGTCTCCTTGGTGTTTAACTGAGACAGAGGTACCAGGTAACATAGGGGTTAGACAAAGAGCCCACATTCATCAGAAATTGCTCTCTCTCTCTCTTAGCTAATTTCTTCCAAATTAGCACTGCTAAACATAAGCAAACACTTTGGCTCACAATTTTTATACAGATTGAAGGAAGCCCAGATAGAGGGAAAAAAATGAAGGCAAAGAACTAGCAAGCTCCAGCAACACTGAGGGAAAGCAGCCTCTGCCTCGCAGCACCAGCAGCAGCATGGAGTATCAAATGTACAGAGCAGAAAAGCGCCAATTCTCAAATCCAGGTATTTCCTGGAGAGCAAAGGTGCCAGGAAGCCCACTTAATTAATCCTAAAAGTGTCACAAAAAGAAAAAGTGCGACAGGAATGAAACATTGTGAAGAGAAGAACTGAAGTCCTGTGTCTGGCAAATCCCAGTGCAGTTATCCCCATATTTCTGCACCTTCCACCCCATTGGCTCAAGGGCCCAAGTGCAGCTGTGCAGCGTTAGTGTAAGACAGCAGATCCCTGTCCATGTCACTGATATAAAAATTGTCAGAGTCTGCAGAATTACTTCATTTTGAAAATACAGCCCAGGATCTTAGATGCAGATTTTTTCCACTATTTTTGGGGTTTATTTTCAATATTTTAAAGCCTTGCTCAAGGTTTCCCTCTGCAATGTGAAATAAAACCAGTTAAGTGGACAGCTGCAGTAACTGCTTCAGTCCCTGGGCTGAGCTCCATCTGCAGAACAGATTACATCAGACTCTGTATTCCTCCAAGAAAGGCACTATCAGCAAAAGACAGAACTACAGGAGCATGAGAAGCTTTCCATTACATCTGCCATACAGTCCCTGTGTACAAGAACAGAATGTCAATGAACCACAGCAATAACCTACACACCACAAATACCACAGAATACAGCAAAATTCTAACAAAAATACTTCATGTTTTTTACTCTGTTTCTAGATGCACACTCATAGTCCAGTATCAATTGTTGCAAACAGTTTAGTTTGCAAGAAACTATAGCTCAATACAAGCAACAAGAAATCTCTAATAGGGCCTACATAAGAAATTAATCTTATGTAGGCTCTATTAGAGGAAGCAGTTTAAAATAAGATTAGACATGGCAAAAATGACAATCTAAGCAGCAGCTTAGAAAAGTGGAAAACATTGGTAGTGTAGGATCAATGCATATGCTGAATGTAGGCTGTGCAACACCTTATAAAATGCCTAAGAAATGATTCAAGACGCACATGAGAGATGCATCCCTTTGAAGGGACATCTGGAGGCCAGTAGGAACTACGGACTCCCAGGTCATGTCTAAGGGTCAAAAAACCCACTCTATCTTCCAGAGACTCTTTGATTGCTCCTGGATTTCAGAGAGCACTCAGAAGTTTAGGAATAGCTGCCTAGGTTGCAAATGCTCAGATGTGCAGGCACTGGGGATGTGGTCAGGAGGAAGAGCTGTCTGACAGCCAGGAAGCAGGACAGCTCACATGACTAATAAATGTCAAACACCCCTTAGCATTTCTGGAAATCTGATGATCTTCCCACATGAATGCCTTAGCAGATCAACCTCCCCTGGGTAACAGCAAACATTTTTTTAATATAAAAAGACACAAAAAGGAAGATGGGTCACTTCACGATGTTTATGCTGAAGTGAGAAATAAGCTGACACAAACTTACAGCTTCCTGCCAGACAGTAGTAAATAAACAGCCTGCCAAGCAAAGAAGAGATGATGAGATGGCAATGCCTGGCACCAGGCATGTACCTCCCTCTCCCATACTATCCCAGTTTCATGTGCTTCTTCCACCTCTAGGTGCCAAGTCTGACAGTGCGCTCCACTTGGCTCAGCTGGGGTGGACGGCACACAGTCAAGAGTATATCCTGGCACAGAAAAGGCCTTCCTGAAAAACTGGTAGCCCTACCCATAGAAAAATAAAGAATAAGGGCTGTTTTAAACACATGTAATTTTGTGGACCAAATCCTGCTCCTCTGCAGCACACACAGAGAGTCTGACAGGACTGCTCACCTTTTTGAGTTGAACAATCCAGCCTACCTTGGACACACCAGATTGCCAGACTGCAACTCAGTGCACAGAACCTGCAATAGTTCTCTGTGTACTAGGATGAGAGATGCACCACTCCCCAAGCTCTAGGAGTGCACTTCCCACGGACTATATTAAAGAATCAATGTGGCAGAGACCTTCAAAGGAGCCCTTCAGAAAATAAAATGGCATGTACCCCCTTCTCACTGCTGGCCGCACTTTAAAGATGATCTATGTGTGCTTTAATTATTTAAATTACTAGATTACAATATTTACAAGGTTCCTCAGTGGGCAAAATGAATGAGAGAGCTTTAAACAGAAATTAATGAAAGAAAAAGCCTTACCACTGATTCTCTCATTTTTTCTGGGAGTGGATCTTCTGATGAATCTTCAAATCGCTGGCGTAGATAGTGAGGGACGTATTTACACTGAATAAGGGACCTGTTTTAAAAAAAATTCCTAATTAGGATACTTTGGAACATGTGAGGCAGATATAAATATTCCTGAAGGACAGAAGAGGAACAACAGCCTCAAATTTCCTTTTTCATATATACATTGGCATTCTTATCTCTGTTCAGCTGGAGATTGACACAAACCAGCTGTACCTGTGATCAGGGCAGAAATTCCTCATCAGAATCCTGAGGAGTCTCAGCAGCCCAATCAATGCTGACATTTAGAGGAATGAGCAGAGAGGGTACTGTTGAATTTATGACTCTTAGTTCTGTTTCAGCTAAGCTGAAACCAATATGAGAGCTATTTAGACCCATGTTAAAATGGCTAAGGAGGCCAGTTTTGTAGAAACTGTATATTAATTCTCTCTTTGAGATTTATGTGCTACCTCCTCATCCATATTGAATTTTATGCCATAGGCCATACCTTAAATACTTTTTCCAATCTCCTTAACTTACTTAAAAGAGGTTCAGAGCTGTTTAGAGAAAAAAATCTTAAATCTCTTTTTTTAAGGATGATGAATTTTTACAATTGCACAATAAACATTTGAAGTTGTTGAACATGTATTCTTAATTTTAGATTTTTAGGAACCATTTCAGTTCCTGAAGATTTCATTGCAAATGTTATGAAATTGCTAGCTAGATGTTAAAGTTAAAATGCATTTAATAGTTTAAGATTACTTCCTTAAAACAAAAATTTGAAAGAAGAAAAGTTTCTGTTTTATTAAAGAGGTTCATGAACTGGTGTGTCCTTTCTGGAAAGTGGGAGAAAAGGATACATTGAAATTACTTCAAAATTGAAAGAACTCACAATTTCATGCTGATTTGCAATTTACCTGTGTACATTTTACTCCAAGGCTAAGAACTGTCCCTAATACATTGCTTTATTTCCTTCCATACTCCATAATTTCCATACTGTAATAACCTAAAAACTACACACCATCCACACAAAGCTTGATCCAGGTCTGCCTGACACCCATGTCTCACTCAGTAGGCTGTGGGTAAAGTTCATGGCAAGTCATGCAAGCAGTTCTTGCTGCTTTGCCACATCAGCACCAAGTAATGTATAAATGTCAGATTCCCTGAATTTTTTGGATGGTAAAGTATTCCTTGACTCTTCAGTAAGATTTACTGGGATGACAATTTCCTACTAGTGCTTTATATCTTTTCCTTCCTCATCAAGGTTGTTCTGCTTTTTCCAAGTTTCTCTGCTAAACCAGAATCCTGAATGGCCTAAAAAGCTCTCCACTTCCCCCTTCTCTCTTCTGCATTGCAGAATTGTGCATAATGAGCCTTGAGCCTCACCTCATGAATCAAAGGAGAGAACTCTCTGTGAGAGAACTTCCCACAGGTCCTCTGCACTCTCCTAGGACAAAACTGAGCTGTGAAGAAGAATTCCAAATGGCATGGTGATACTGGTGGCACAAAACCCACTTGTTTGCTAAGCCCCACAGCCATAGATGTAATAGCCCAGCTGCCTGCTGACCCCCACAGCCCCTATAACACCCATATATCACACTTTCCTCACTGGGAAATTCACATTTGCTGCCCCTGAGCTAAGGATCTATTGGGTCTCTCTCTCACACATCACCTCAACATGCAGATCACAATGTTGGGACTTCTCCTCTTAATCTCCCTTGTTTGCAGCGTCAGCTCTTAGCATACACTTCCTCTCCTCAGTTACCTCTAGCAGACTGTGTCAGAGAACAAAAGGAAGGATGAAACCTCAAACTGAGAGGCATAGCCTACTGAAGTAATCCTCAGCAAGAGTTGGAATTCAGCCATCTTCCCAGCACATTAAATGTTGCTTCTACTGGTCCCAGTGCTAACCAATGCACATTCTGCAACTCCAGTTGCCTGAACCTCCCTCAACTAAATCACTGTCCTCCAACCTGGCAAGCATACAACCTCCTAGAGGGGAAAAATCTGCTTCAGAGATTTTGGATAGCGCTGCTTAAAGAACACCAGCCCTGCTGATGATCTGACTGCAGCACTTCATTCATATACAGGACTGATACCAACCATGCAGACATGGTGAGGAATTTCACCTCACCACAGTACTTTCAGGAGGCAAGCCTGGTGGTTCTGAAACCCAGGCATCACTCTGGCTGTGTGCTGTAAGGAGTAATCAGCAAAAAAACATTTACAGGCAACTTACATCAGCACAGATGGGTCACTGCTTTGTCTGCTGAGGTGATAAGAAAGTGCAACTAGCAGACCACAGAAAGCAGAAAACAGTGCTGGAATGTGCTGTGCATCCCAGGGTTCCTGAGAGGATGACAGAAAGCAAAGTTAGGAATGAGGAACTTAAAAAGCCAAAATAAGTAGGTTAAGCCATACATCATACACACAATGTTACATGCACAACATCTACATTTGTACACCATCTACCACAGACTAAAAATCCTTTTTCATATCAAAGATTATTACTGTGAAAAAACCTTGCAATTAAAGGCATGTCTTGTGGTCCTGTTGTGCAACTCTCCTATAATCAGCAATTAGCTAGGAAACCACATGAAAGGCAGGTTTTCTTTCCTCTTCAATGAAACATTAGAGGAAAATTCTCATTAAAATGAAATCCGAGTGAAATCAACAGCAGTGCATTTATCTATACACTAAATTGATACACTGATACTTGACCTATAGCCAGACTGCAACTAACAAATGACAATATCACGTAGATCAGGCAGTGGGGTTTCTTTCAGGCATCTTTCTGTTGCCTTGTGCATTCCATCCAGGCCCTGCCTGGATGCTAACACAGCAGAGAAGGGAGAGCACTGGCCCCCGTGTGTGCCACCCCCAAGGAGGGAAACAAGAGACAACTGGCACACCCGCCAGCGCGCCCGGGATACAACTGAGATGAGAAACTCTCTCCAGGTGACCCTAACAGCTAAAACTGCTAGAATGAGTAAGAGAAAGAACATAAAGCTTAAGGAACACTTATAAAGATTATCTGTGACATCCTCAGGTACAAATTATGGATCCTAAGACATACTTGTGAGTCCTATTTGTGAAGAAAACAAATTTCATCTGTGAAGGACAAAGAAACTTGGAACAAATCCATTTCACTTACTAATCGCATTCCTTGCCTCCACAGAAATTCTGCCTGATCAACCAAATGTGAACTCATCAGAGCACTTTCATAACAGGTTTTGAGAAGCAATGCTTGCAGGATCTGTGAAACTTCAGGCTAGTGTGAACAAGACTTCTGCACAGTTATCTCTTGCTTTGGAAACTTTAAAGTTAGTACAGCACCAATGTTTTCAGAGGATTAAATAGGTTTATTAGTCTTATTTTGCTCAGTTCTATGATGCTTTCTCAGCATGTTAGGAAGCACTCAATTTCTTTCAGGTGCAATGAATACCTAAGAAAAACTAATTTTAAATGTCAAACATCTAACCCATTGCAGCATGGAATTCTGCAATTTAACTCTGAAATTCCTTGTTATCCTAAGAGTAGTACCAAAAAAGTGAAAATTTAATTCCAAGAGTCATCTTCCCCTCATCATACTACTGAAAATCACAAAGATAAAAGACAGAAGAGCCTGATTCTATCAAACAATCCTACCCAAAACAGTAATTACAAACAAAAGAGAGATTCACACGACATTACTGAAAGAACCCAGTACCATTTATTTGACAATTTAAGCTTTACCATACAATCCTACTCTTCATTTCACTGTTTCCAGTTTTGGGGCCAAATATATTTTCAGTTAGCTTTTCCCATGCTTAGTCTTCTGTCACGATCAATTCATATTCTTCAAAACACTGAAGAAAATGGCTGAATCACAGCCTACCCAAACATCCTCTGCATTTTTAGGGCAACACAACCTTGTACAGATCCCCCAGCAGCTTCTAGTATATGACTGGCCCTTTGCTCTGCAATGTCTTTTGAAAGCAAAATACTATCAAGAATTGAGCAATATTCCTGATACTGAAATTTATCAGAAGGCAGTTTGAAAAATTATTCCACCCTTTTTCTCCTATAAAGCCATTCACAGTTGAATCCCCACATTAATGTCTCAGGAATTCTATTTCCATATTTTCTGCATATTACACATAGCTTCTGCATTTGTCTGGTCTGTGCTCCATTTCCAAACTGTCATTGTCCCCTCAAAACTCAGACATCAGGGAGCCAGGAAAGCAGGTAGGACAGGCATCAATATTCACTATGTGCCTAGAGAACAGGATTTTCTAGAAAGATGCTACACAATGTTGTGGAAAAGATGAGAATGAACAAAGGTGTCATTTCTCCAGTATCAGTGTGATGTACCCTCTTCCATTTTGTCATTTTCCTCCCCCACAAATGATGCCTGATAGCTTTAAATTTAAAAAATGAAAACCAAATAATATAGTTGATAATTGAACAATGATTCTTCTCAGTGGGAAAACAGGGCTGACAGGTTTTACTCTTGGAAGCTGGTATTATCTGTCATATGAGACAGGGACTTTCACTTCCTAGGCTACCTCATGGGGTTGAGGTGACACGTAGTCCTTTCATATATGGTTTTGGCTCCAATGCAGATACTCACAGAGTCATTTTTAAAACAAGTGAAACAGACTTACAGGGTTAAGTATGAAAGCCATGAGTTACAACAGACCAGTGGTGGAAGATGGGCGTTCCATTCCACCCACAGAATTGCCTAATTCCAAAACAATCCCCTAGAAGGGGAGATAAAGGTGTCTTTGAACTTATGAGCCTTTTAGCACTGCTAGAGGTGGGTAGGCAAATGTATTTTTAAAAAGTAGTGCTAGTAGTTTTCTGTTCTACATTATTTATCCTTTCTACTTCTTTCTTCTCCTAAAAAACCCGCATCAAACACACTTATCTTTCAAAGATATGCTCAAATAAATCATATATTCTACTCCAGAGACAAAAAGTGCTCTGAGCAGAGAACCAAGTATGCTAAGTAGAAATTCTTGTTACTTTTTCTATTGTTTTTTTTTTTTTTAATTTTTTTATTTCAGAGTGTTCCTCGCAACAGTGATTTTGCAGATTGCTGCAGTGATAGCATCACTGAAGGTGAAGGCAGTGGCATAGTGGCCGGGTTTTTAAACATGGAGACAAACTCCAGTTGGTCTTCATACACGTGGTTTTCCACTCTCATGATTTCATCACTATTTACAGAGTCAGAGAATATTTTGGGTTGGAATGGACCTTTAAAAGTCACGTAGCCCCTTGTGCAATTCAATCCAACTTTCTTGGCTCTTTCTCCTTACCCCCACACTGCTGCCTTATCACAGATCTGTGCCATTGCTTCAAGGAACACACATCAAGGAATAAGCAGGAAGGGCTGATGGCCAACCATCCCAGACGTGTGATGGTAAAGATGGAAATAAATACTATCACCCTATTTCTGAAGATCTAAACCACTGATTTTCTGAAAGAGATCATTAAAGGGAGCCCCCTTCACCCCCCAAAATATGGGAAAATAGTTAGGACTTTTTCTCTACAAGGCTAACTATAGGCTCAACACATATTGCCATGGATACTCCTTTTCAGTAAACACTAATATAACAACCAAAATATGTGAATTACTGAGCTTCATGTTATACAGAACTTAGGCAAGTTCTAGGAAGAGATGCCCACCAACCTTATCTTCCCATCATCCATGGAAAACAAAGCATTACTTTCCCAGATGATCTCCAAAAACACGACAAGTGATAAGTTACCAGAATACAGGTATCACTGCCCACTCTAAGTAACATTGGCCCTCTTCCTCTAAAATTGCTGCTATCTTGGACTGTGTTTTCATTGCTGAAGTTTAAAATTCATAAAGACTGGACTGATGCAGGGGTGTCCATGTGTGTCCACACACAGCACCTGACACAACAGATCCCAGTCTGTGACTGGAATGCCTTGGCTAAAAAGCAAGATGAGCAGCAGCTTCAGGCAGGAAGCATGGATACTCCTGTTTCACATAATGGTGAGTTTATCCTAAAGAAACAGTGCAGATTTCTACATTCCTGTACAGTGACTGACAGTGAGAGCTACCCTGGGCCATGTTAGATTCTACAGGCCTAATTCCTTTTTTCTGGAAAATAAGTTATTATACACAGAAACCTAAGACCATAACTATTGAAGTTATGTCTACAGTGCAAGACTTGACTATGGTTGCAAACTTCACTTACTGAAAGGCATGGTATCTAGGAATACTCTCCAAAATTAACACCCCTAATAGCTCTTGCTTGAAGCTCAGTGTTTCTAAATCAGAAAAAAAAAAAAAAAAGCCTCCAAAACCTCCAAAAGGACTGAGAGTATTCTTTGCAGCTGAAATAAAGCTATCCAATAATATACTTCTATTTTTGGTCACTTACCTATACAGGAATTCTCTGTACACATAAGCCCATTCACTGCTATCTAGAAATTTATTTGGGCAATCTTAGCAGATTGAAGGAGATGTATTCTTGCAACTCTTTCCCACCATAAACCTCTAAGACAAATATTTCAAAATTATTAGTACACAGATGAAGACTGCATCACTGAAGACGGAAAGCAAGGAGCACTGTTATTCTGATTAATGAGATTAAAACTCATTAAACAAACCAAACTACATCAATGTGAGCTGAGAACAGTTTAAAATCTGCACAGGATTTTTAGTAACTGTCCATTGAAGCAATAAACAAGCCACCAGAAAGTACTCTCTTCAGGTATGAGGTAATGGAAACTATCTAACTTTTATTTCAAAAATATACACTTACACAGAACTGGAAAAAGCTGGTGTGCCACATATTAATACATTCACATCAGTTAAATTTTTCTGACCCAAGTCCAAAAATCTGATTTTTTTTTTCAGACTGATTAAGACAAATTGCAAGTTCCATACAAAAGAAAGAAAAAAAAGAAAAAAGAAATTATCCGGATGACAAGTACTTAACTGGTTCTGGATACATTTCAAATCCAAACTAACTGATATGAACAGAAGGCAGAAGACAAGGACTGACTGATTCCAGAAACATTCAGGGATGTGCTCTTCTGCCCCATGGCAAAACCCTGGAACACTGGAATGCTAAAGACTGATATCAGGATGGCTGAATTCCAGACCAAATATTTGTAAAAAAGTAGCAGGGCATACCTGACTTTTTTTAAAAACATCTCTTAAATATTTGGGCACAGACCACCAAACAGATGGAGCAGGAGACAAAAATCAGTACATCATGAAATTCTAGTCAAGTGAAAAAGATGGCACAGAAATTCCCATGTCTCCGATCTGATGGATGTAATATCTGAAAAATAAAAACACCTCTTCCTGGAAAAAGAAAAAACCC